GCCACTGTAGCCTCGACCTGCTGGGGTCCGGTGATCCTTCCGCCTCAGCCTTCCAAGTAGCTGGAACTACAGGCACGCGCTACCACGCCCGGCTCATTTTGATTTATTGTAGAGATGAGGTCTCGCCAAGTTGCCCAGCTAGGTCTCGAACTCGTGGGCTCAGGCAATCCACTCACCTCAGCCTCCCAAAGGTGCGGGATTACAGGCTGAGCCACCGAGCCCGGCTAAGACACAGTTTTTAAAAGGCTTTAACCTACTTTAGAAACAATTGCTTCATTAGGACTTAACATTTGCTGCCCTCTTGGCAAATCAAAATATACCTGAGTAGGTGGTGCAGGTTTTTTCCCCTCCAGTAATAAAGAAGATATTTTAAATAGTCATGTTTCAGTTAATGAAGGGGATATGTTTTGAGAAATGTGTCCTAAGGAGATTTTGTTAGTTGGTATAGACTACTGTACACCAGCTGTATGGTATGTAACCTATTTCTTTAAACACGTTGGTATATACTGAATAGGCAGTTGTAACACAGTGGTAAGTATTTGTATATTTAAACATAGAAAAGGTACAGTAAAAATATATAAAAAATAGAAAATGATGTTCTTGTATAAGGCACTTATGTGAGTGGAGCTTGCAGGACTGGAAGTTTCTCTGTGTGTGTCAGTAAGTGAGTGGTGAGTGAATGTGAAGGTCTAGAACCTCACTGTATACTACTGTAGACTTCATAAACACTGTACACTTAGGCTATACGAAATTTAATAATTTTTTCTCGAGTTGGAGTCTCACTCTTCAAGCAGGCTGGAGTTCAGTGGCAAACCTCAGCCTTCTAAGTAGCCAGAACTACAGGTGCATGCAACCACATCCAGCTAACTTTTTGATTTATTGTAGAGATGAGGTCTTGCTAAATTGCCCAGGCTGGTTTGAACCCATGGATTCAGGCAGTCCTCTCACCTCAGCCTCCCAAGGTGATGGAATTACAGGCTTGAGCCACCTCGCCCCGCCCATGTTGTCTTTTTAAAGTAGTAAATTAGCTATTTTCTATGCATAGCATATAATTTGGCTACTGTTTCTTTTGGTCAGTCTAAACTTTACTGGGGGCAAATTTGAAAGTGATACATTTCTCTAACAAGAGGATCTAGTTTTAAAGTTTAATACTATAACATACACACAAATATACACACACTTGACTGTGTCAAATTTTAAGTAAACTGAACAAACAGCTAACAGTTTTTGTTTTTAAACCAGGGTTTGGGTTGAGATAAGCAAGTAAATAACAAATATCTTAAAGTTTCCTAGTTTGTCATTTTAAGTGTTGGCTGCAGATTGTTGTGAAGACCCTTCCTAATCTTTGGCTAAGAATGTATACCAACTAGTGCTCATTTTTCAAACTACCTCTAGTTCTGTAGATGGTTGTGTTCTGTAATTCTTTTGTTGCTATGGTGGATTGACTGTTCTCCTAAAAAAGTTATATTAGCTAGCATGTAAGGTCAGCTGAATTGACTTCCTGTTTATTTTTTCAAGTAAAATATACATGGAAATAGATGTACATTATATATAATATTTGTGGAAATAGATAAAGCTTTTTTAATATGTGGAAATAGGCTTTAAGACTCTTGACTGTGACTCATGCCTTTTTCACTTTTCTAGGTCTCTTTTCAAAGACATTTAAAAAGCAGAGCATTTCTAAGAAAAAAATGCCACCTGAAAGATACCTGAGAGGCATCAGGAATCACTGCTTCTCTAGTGGGTCTCCATTCTGTACTTGCGCTTGAGGACTTGAGATTTTTCTTTTTCTTCCTCCATGTCTTTGACTTGGTGGTTTGCTCAAGTGTGAAGCCCGTGTGTGAGGAGTAGAAGGGCTCCCCAGCTGGACCTGTACATAGGGTGTGGTTTCAGGGATCCATGTGATGGGTATGTTAGTTCTTGCAGTTTCCTTTTTGAGCATGTCAATTACCTTCTTCAAGCCTCAACATTTGGTGTAAAGTAGGTATATGATATCATTTAGGTGGTACACTGGGATTCAGTAACCCAGAGTCACATAGTGAGAACACAATTTCTTTTTCCATATTTTTAAAAAAAAATCCTTCTGATTATATAAGTGGAAAGGTAGTATTTTGGATCTATTTTGTATAACACTTTTCAGTATTTGCCAATCTTTTTTTTTTTTTTTTTAACAGGGAAAGCAAACTTCATGCAGAATACCTTTAGTAGGCAACAGTACTTAGCTAGAATTTAATAACATTGTATTATTTCTCTGTTGTCTTCTTTTAATAGCAAGTGACACAGCCTTTTTATTTTTAAATTTATTTATTTATTTGAGTGAGGTCTCACTCTTTTTTTTGAGGTCTCACTCTTTTGACCAGGCTAGAGTGCAGTGGTGCAATCATAGCTCATCACAACCGCCATCTCCTGGGCTCAGACATTCCTTCCGCCTCCGCCTCTGGAATAGCTGGGACTATAGGCACATACCATCATACCCAGCTAACTTTTTGATTTTTTTTATAGAGATGAGGTTTTACTATGTTGCCTAGGCTAGTCTAAAACTCCTGAGCTCAAGCAATCATCCTGCCTTGGTCTCCTAAGGATTTCAGGCGTGAGCCACTGTTTCTGGCAAATTTTTAATTTTCTTCTTTTAAACTGCAAGTAGTTTTAAGTGCTAGGGGTAACCCAAGGAAGCAGCTGTTGGGAAGTTGGAGAGGTGAGACAGGTAAGGCTGGAAAGCTAGTAAAGTAAATCACCACTGTGGGCAATGGGAGCTTAATGGCAGCAGGAACTTTGGGAGCCAGAGTTATCTTACCTGAGAGCATACCTTTAAAATATATTTAGAATCTGGGGGGTGGGAAAAGAAAAAAATATATATATATATTTAGAATTTGACCTCTTTTTATTAACTTCGTTGTTAACACCTGGCCTCAACCCCCATCAATTTACAGCCTCCTAAAAGTTTACGCTAACACAGCTGTTGGAATTACCCATATAAACAAGTCACTTATCTGCTCAAAACCCTTCAGATGGTCCCTAAGTCTTTACAGTAAGGACCAGTGTGATCTGGTTTCCTCCTGCCCTGTGTGTGTGTGTGTGTGTGTGTGTGTGTGTGTGTGTGTGTGTGTGTGTGTAGGCATATTATGTGCACACAATCCTTTGTGTCTTTAGCCTTACTTCAAGTCAAAACACTCCTCTCCATTCCCTTCATTGTGTGCTATTGATTCATTTGTAAATTAGATTCATTTGTCACAGTTTGAGTCCATCTTTACCACTACAGTGTGGTTGAGTTTTTAAAAAATTTGCATACAGTAAATTCACTTTATAGTGTTCAGTTCTGTTGGTTTTGACAGATCATGAAGTGGTGTATCCATTACCACGATTTCATGGGAAACAGTTCATTGCCCTAAAAATTCCCTCATAAGCCGGGCTCGGTGTCTCAGCCTGTAATCCCGTGCCTTTGGGAGACTGAGGTGAGTGGATTGCCTGAGCCCGCGGGTTCGAGATCCGCCTGGGCAGCGAGACCTCATCTCTACAATAAATCAAAAATCAGCCGGGTGTGGTAGCGTGCGCCTGTAATTCTGGCTACTTGGAAGGCTGAGGTGGAAGGATTGCCAGAGCCCAGCGGGTCGAGGCTGCGGTGGCCGGGAGCGGCCACTGCACTCCAGGCTGGTCGACGGAGTGAGACTCCAACTCAAAAAAAAAAAAAAAAAATTCCCTCATGCTATATACCTTTATAGATAATCCTTCTGTCTGTCTTGTGCTGGTCTATTTTCTTCTCTGTCGTTTTGCCTTTATTAGTGTCATATAAGAGACTTTTACAATATGTAGCCCTTTGGATCTGGCTTCTTTCACTTAGCAAAATGTGTTTAAGGTTATGCCATGTTGTTTTGTGAACATTCTTCAGTAGTTCATTCCTCAAGTATCCTTTAAAATAAATATGAGTGAAAACAAAAGTGAATTGACTTAAAGAACATATTGAATAAAAATGATATAGGTGGTACATACATTAAAAAAAATCTCGAACCTAAATGTCTAAGGTTTGGAAATCAGTAATGTGATAGAAAGATGCTGGGAAGACTTTGCTTTAACAGGTACCTCAGTCAATAATTAACCATGTGTTCTTGCAGAAATCACCCACTCTTCTCCCCAGTTTCTGGTAAACAGTGAAAAATACCTGATGTAGTAGTTGTTAGTCCTGTCTCCTGAGATAACTGTGGTTCATAAGAAATGGGGTATTGATAGGTTCTTTGGGTAGCTCTTTTTTATTGTTAGCATTTCAGTGCTGTGAAACAGCCATCACCCCTGGATTTTAATGCTGTTAGGACCAGCTGTTTGAAATGTTTTATGGAAACTATAGTGAGAGAGTAAGAACCTGTTAGCAGACATGAAGTAAGCCTTCGGGGTAAGTCAGTTTCCTTACTTTTTTGTTGTTGTTGGACTTATCTAGTTTAAGATCTTAAAAACTTGAGTTAGAGCTTTAGCAGTGTCTGAGGTGCTGGTGGTACTGTAAATCTCAGCAAGTTTTCTAGCAACCTCTTGTGACTATAGCATTTGGACCTTATTCCTCATAGTTCTGTCCTTAGGTAGATTTTCGTAGGGATATCTACAAAGATTGATTGTTGGTGTTCACAGTTTCCTGAATCATTCTTGTGGTTCACTGATAGAGCATTTTGTCATATTATTGACTGTGTATCTGAAGGTTGGAGCATATTTGAGATGCTCCCCTCCTGACAGATGCTTACAGCAAACCTGGAAGGAAACCAGTGATTATTGCTTGCTTTGTTATTTTTAAGATGGATGATTTATAGTGATTCCTTTTAAACTCATGATTAATGGCTGCTTAACATCCCTGACCAGGTTACCTTTTTTATAAAATTGAAATAGGATAGTTGGGTGATACAGTGTCAATGTAAGATCAGAAGAGTAAGTGAAAGGAATTTGAGAGTGTGGAATTCCTATGATTTGTGTGTACTTCACACATGGCGCATAGTAATATTTATTTTACTTTTCATTTTTAGTAATGAATGTTATAACTATTGAAGATTATAAGAGCACATACTGGCCAAAATTGGATGGTGCCATAGATCAACTTTTAACCCAGAGTCCTGGTGACTATATCCCCATATCTTATGAACAGATATACAGGTAAGTCAGTATTGAATTTGCCTGGGTTCAAAAGGGTATATTGAGGTTCAGGACAACTTGAACTATGCAGCACGCAAGAGGTAATAACATATAATACGTAAGATAAGGCTCTGTGAGTATTTATGTATTCCACACTTATGGATTAGAGATTTGATTATACCTTTTGATTCAAAAGTGGTTTTCAAATCAAGGTAGAGTAAACCACACTCTATTAGACTTCCTCCCACTTCAGCTTGCCACCTCCACCATATGTAATGCTGACACTCCGTCTGTGAAAAAAATAAGAATGACTGCAGTATCTGGGAGAAAATACGTATTTTCAGTCTCACATGGAGACTTTAGTTTAATCTGTTGATATTCATAGGCACACAATTCTAACTCTCCTTGATTGTTTTGTTTCCCAGTTCTTAGTAAACGGAAGCAGCAAATTAGGAACTGGGGCGGGATATGAGGTCAGCAAAGTTAAAGGAGGAGGAAGTGACAACTGTTGTCTCCACAACTGATATACTAAGAGGTTGTATTACAAACATTTTCATGAATTAGAAACTTTCTCTCTACTAATTATGACTCTCTCCCTTATTCTGACATTCATTAAAAAAAAAAAAAGCGAGAGAGAACCTGGTTTACAAGTAGTTAACACATTCAGACCCTAGGTTGTCACCTAATACTAGATTATCTAGTACTGATTAAATGCCTAATAGACTACTCACAATAGATTATTTTTAACTGATGGCACTAGCTTCTCTTCTGATCACTGATTGGGGTAGGTTGAATTTCTATTTAAAAGTTGTGGTTAGTCACTTTTTTAAGGTATGAATCAGTGGTGGCTGTATATTAAAAGTGCTTTAACCTTAGACTGAGTTAAATGCTTCATTATTAACTTGGTTTTTGTGGGTTTTTTGTTTCCCCCTTACAGTTGTGTGTATAAATGTGTATGCCAGCAGCACTCGGAACAGATGTATAGTGATCTGATTAAAAAGATAACTAATCACTTAGAGAGAGTCTCGAAGGAGCTGCAGGTAAAGAATTGATTATATTGATTTTAACTTCCTTGGGTTTTTTTTGACTGATTGGAATTAGCTGTCTAATATACATTTGGAAGTTTGTAGGTTTCATTATGATATGTTTATAAATATTTTCTAGATGAATGTTGGCTAAATTATCATAAATGACATAAATTGTGGACATTTTTAGATTTAATATATTTCAGACCCTAACTGATTTTGTTTATTACCATGTCAACATTAAAATTTTTAAAATTTTATTTTAAAGATTTGGGGTACAATTTAGATTTAGGTATACAAGTGGTCATCATACAGGTAAAGTTTGGGCCTCCCTTTGGTCCCCACTTCACCTGGTTTGAGATCAGGTACCCTTATTGATGTTATGTGCCCAGCATTTTCTTTTACTTAAACCTTATTTTTCTCTGTTATGTCAATATTTGGTGACTATATAATTTTAAAATACATGTGTTTTAAAATTTTTAGGGGACTTGCATTGTTTTTGAGAAGTAGTTTGCTTACTAGTTTATAGTACTTGCCAATACAAACAACTGAAGTCAGCACTTTATTTTAGAAGTGGTATCATCCCACTTCTAAAATCTGGGGCAGTTTGCAGAAAATGTTCTGTTTAAGGGAGCACTTGGCTTGATCTCCACTCCCCTCTTCCTCACCTCAGTAAAGCTTCTAGTGCTTTAAGGTTAAGTGCTATTTTTATGCCAGGGTCACAATCCATTTTAATTTTCATGTAGAAGTAACATGATGTCTACAAAAGTAACTCAGCAATAGATTGCTAGGATCTATACCACAATTAGGAAGTATCCCAACAGTTTTGAACTAACCATAGTTTCTAGCAAGTGTTGGAGTGTGTTTTGGGCTTGGATATTATTCCTCATGTACCTTGTGGTCTGAAGTATCTTAGTCTTTTTTAGCCCAAACAGTTGTTGTACTAAGTAGCTTTTTTTCTTTTTCTTTTTAAAAATTATAGTCAGAGCTATGTTTTATCGTAGTCAAATGTGTGCTTTTCATGTTGTTAGTGTAAATTGTTTTCTTCATCTTTTTATCACTAAATATAAAATCTTGATTCATTTGACAGATCTGTTTGGTGTCTAGGCATTGTATGTAAATTGTAGATGAAACCCAAGATCTGTGCCTTATAGCTTTGAATGATTTGCTTTTTAATTCTTGACTCTGATGGCTCCCTAAATTCTTACCAGAATTCAATTTATTACCAAACTCTGTTTACTTCCAGTCTCTCTCTGGTCTCTGTTCACTTCTGTTCACTTGCCAGTATCCTAGTCAAGGTTGCCGTTGTTTCTCAAGTGTTTTACTAAAATGCTCATCTCAGCTGGTTGCTCTGCCTTAACTTTATTGATGTATCTTAATGTATTTGACCAGTTTTTGATTGAAGAATATTTAGCTTGCTTCCAATCTTTGGGTGTTGCTAATAGTGCTGAAGTGAATAATCAGTTTTGTAAGTAATGTCATTTACTAAGTCTATATTGTGGTTTGCAAAGGTTGTATCAAGTTGTCCTCTCACCGGTTATATATATATTAGAGTGTTTATTTTCCTCACCCTACTAATACAGCCTATTAAGAAACTAACTAATTTTTATTTTTGTATTAATATAGGAATGATTCTTATTAAGAATTGAAACACAGGTAAGGGGCTAGTATTTTTAAAAGGGATAATATATGATATAAAACTAGGGAATTTATTTTTAGAATCAATACATGTCCCACTTTGAGTTTTATCAGTATAGTCCTATAAAAAATAATTGCTTCAAAATTATTCCTCTTATAAGATTATAAGGTTTGCAAACCATTATGAAATAGCAAGGTGAACGGATTAAAAACATGGGTACCTGGGGCTCTGTTCTCAACTCTACCACTTAGCAGCTGTTTGTGTGCCTCTTGATTAAACATGCTAATATATATCATCTTGTAACTTGTCTTGTCATTGAAACAAATATCTATAGTTCCCTGACTCTAAGTAGTAAGATATTTTTTTCTCTGCTTCCTGCCTGGCAAATTCTTCATTCTTTTCTCAGGCTTAAACTCATTTGTGTCCCTCTCTGTAAAGCCTTCCTGGAACTCCCACACTTCTCTCAAAGTAGAACAGAGCAGACTGTTGGCATTTCTTCTTTTGTGGACCTATAGCATCTCAGCAGTAACAACTCCATGAGGGCAATGATTGTGTTATTTCTGTTTTCATGTATAACTACTTCACAGGCCCTTCCTTAAGGGTAGGGACTCTGTCTTGTTTGCCTTTCTATCCTTTGTGGCTGGCATTACAGGTCAGCAAATGTTTATTGAGTGAATATGGAGTAACTAAATATGACCTATATCAATGGAAGGAGTAGAGTAATCAGCCTCATATTATCATTAATCTTTATGCTCTTTAGACTCATAGACATTTTCTCAATTTGTTCAGTATTACAAATATGTGATCTGGTGTAATCTCTGTTTTATGGAAACTTTAAGATGGTTTTTATGGGAGACAGAACACGAGCATATACCAGGCTTCATGAACCAGACATGTTTTATTTGAGTGGAGCATTTTGTTTGCAGTTCTAGTTTTTGTAATGAAATGTTGTTGTTATGAACCAAGAGTGTGGGGTGAGTTGCATTTGGCAGATAATCAGAAATTTAGTGTTGGAGTTGATAAATCAGTGAGTTGGATGTACAGCCTCTGTCTGTCAAGGGCATCTTAAAATAACTGCGAGTTTGTGTAGTTTATATGTCAGAATGACTTATTTATCTTTATCCAAGGGTGTATCCTGTTGGGGAGACTGAAGAATATATGAAATAATGTTCAGGGTTCTCCAGTTATTTTTGGTGTTAACTTAAAACCTAGAGAATACTGTTTTTGGAGATTTTACAAGATTGAAATTTGTTGAACTTAAGTTTTTTTATATGGCAGCATAATCTAACTTACTAGCTACTTTTAAAAGAAATGACTTTTTAAAATTTTGGAAATAATGCCTTTTTCCCTTCAGTAACTTTAAAAAGTTTTTTTGTTGTTGTTGAATGAAATCATCTAACAGATAGCTAAACCCACTTAGTATTCTCCTTTCTATTGTATGTCACTGCATGAGTATCTATATTTTTTAACTTATTGCTGGGTTGTTTGAAACTATGAGTATATTTTACCTTAATTTTTTTAGCAATTCTCCCTATCCTCATTAACTGTTCTCTTTTTAAAGTATTATAATTAAATTCCATTCATTTTTCCATATCTCCAAAGTCTCAAAATGTGAATTTCCAATTTTGATTTACCAATGAATGGAAACAGATGACTATAGAGAGTAAACTGGTTTACCAGTTTAGTAAATGTGAGTTTGGAAAGTTCTGTTGAAACTTTTAGAAATTTCCATGGTTTTGGTGGGGGCTTAGACCAGGGTCTCCAATTGCCTATTAAACTTGGATTTCTTCTTATAGATCCCTCATATTGATGTCTAAACCTAAATTCCTCTTCACCCAAATCAATTTCTTTCTGAGGCTTGAGATTTCATATTTGTCTTTGACTCCTTTTTCTCTCTTGTCTCTTATTTCCAGGTGACCGTCAAGATTGATGGAATACTATAACATCTCTTGTTTCTGTCCTCTTTCACTTTCAGTACTGTCATCTTTTTCTGTGTTTTTATTTGCTCATACCTGCACTAATGGAGTGTTGTCTTAATTAGTTTGCCTTTCTCTAGTCTCTTTGGACTGAATAATCTTCTAAAAACCCTAATTTGATGGACATACTGTCTTATTCAGAAATCTAAAAACTTCTAGGCTGGGTGCTGTGGCTCACGTCTGTAATCCCAGCACTTCGGGAGGCTGAGGTGAGAGGATTGCCAGAGCCCGTGGGTTCGAGACCAGCCCGGGCAACATGGCGAGATCTCATCTCTACAATAAATAAAAAATTAGCTGGACGTGGTGGCATGTGCCTGCAGTTCCAACTACTTGAAAGGCTGAGGTGGAAGGATTGCCTGAGCCCAGCAGGTCGAGGCTATGCCATTGCACTCTAGCCTTGGCGGCAGACTGAGACTATGACTCAAAAAACACAGCAACAGACTTTTTGTTGCCTTCCTTAATTAGCACAGTTGATTTTTTTGGTCAGGAAAAAAAACTGAGCTTGTTGTTAGCAGGGTTCCTAGTGGGAAATGCGATACAACTTAGCATTTACCTATCCATGTATACAAGGCACTGTTATATACAATAGTGGGCATATAACTGATAAGACTAGATAATTTGGACTGTCCTCCTGTTGAGAACGATTTCAAGCACTAGACCAAGGAACTAGCAAAAATGTAAAAAATTATAGGGCCAGGATATGGGAGAAGAAAGAAACTCAGAGAGGGGAACCTCACATTTGAGCCATTTGTTTACTAGTGCCACCTGTTTATTCTGGAAGAGGAGGATAGTGAACTGAGAAATTTAATAAAGCTTTGATACACTTATGAGGTTAGGGGGATAAAATTGGAGTATAAAGTTCATTAAACTTGAAGGATCACATCTCAAGAATAGTAAAACTAACAAAATAATAGACTAGCCTTCGTATCTGAAGCCTGATTCCTTATTGGATTAAGATGGCCTGGATTTGGCTGGGCTTGGTGGCTCAACCTGTAATCCCAGCACTTTGGGAGGCCGAGGTGAGAGGATTGCCTGAGCCCGTGGGTTCGAGACCCGCCCGGACAACTTGGCGAGACCTCGTCTGTACAATAAATCAAAAATTAGCCGGACGTGGTAGCGCGCGCCTGTAGTTCCAACTACTCGGAAGGCTGAGGCAGGAGGATCACCGGAGCCCAGCAGGTCGAGGCTGCGGTGGCCGGGAGCGGCCACTGCACTCCAGTCTAGGCGACAGAGTGAGACTCCAACTCAAAAAAACCCCCAAAAACAAAAACAACAAAAAAAGATGGCCTGGATTTGCTAAAACCTCTGCCTTAAGTTTACCACAAGCAAAAGTAAGTTTCTATGGAGAAAGATGACATTATCATAGGCATCAAATTGTTTCCATAATTTTTTATAGACAA